CCGCCCACCACCAACCCCAGCCCCCCAGAGATCTGTTACCCCATCTGCTCACCATGGCGTGCTGGAGGTCGCATCGACACCATATAAAAAAGGAGGGTTACACAGACTAGCGCCTTGCAGCTATACTTCAGCTGGAAACAATTCTGGCATTTGACGAGTTTTTCCGTTTTTCTCTCTTTCTTTCGTGAGGGGGGGGACGGGGAGACAAGGAAAAAAAACGAGTGCCACCACTGCCCTCTGCTGGAAATAAGCAAGGTTGGTGGCGAACTCGATGAAGCAAACAAAAAAGAAATAAGACAGCTCACCTGAGGTAATTCCAGTGACCAGCTTGCCTCCTGCTGCAGTGACTGAGTCCTTCCATTGTACCTGCAAGAGTCAAAGCGAGGCGAAGATGAGCCCTGGCATAGACAAGAGGGAAGGTCAGCAGAAGAAAAGAGCAACGTGCATCAGTCCGCTGAACAAGCTACAGAAACCCATACTCAGACTAGGACTTTCTTAGATGTTTCTGGGTGCACTTGTGGCCAGACATGGATGTATCCACCTGCAATTTTGCCCACATAAAATCAGTCCAAAAAGTCCTACTGTATGAGCATGCCCTTCAACTTTATCAACAGTACCCCACCCAAAAATAAATGCAGTAAACACATCACACACACACATACACACATACACACATATACACACATCCACACCCACACGCACACACACACACGCACACTAGCACACATACAGGTCTTGCGATGTATTTTTGATTTGTGGTGGCGTTGTAGGCCATCGCAGAGGGATCAAAAAAATCTTTCTTAGTCCATTGGCATATGTGGTCGGTGCTTTTTTGTTAGTGGAGCCTTTTGTGTTATGCTGTTTTGTGGTTTTGTGGGCCGACGTGGAGGGCTCACCAAGTTTTTTCGGACCTATGGCGGATGGGGTCGGTGCTTTCTTGCTGGTGGAGTCCTCTGTCTTAGGTAAGTTGCTTCTTGCCCTCCACCGTTTTATAGATCAATAAATATATGTATATATCATCAAACAGAGCTGCCCGGTAAACCGTAGGCAGAGAGGGAGAATAGGACAACAAACGAAGGGCTGTGACAAACTGTTTCGTCTGAGTTTCACCGACTCATCAGGAGGCTGAACCCTCAACAGTCTGCAGAATCCCCTAACTGATTACACTGTAAGTGATAATCCACCTTAACCCCAGCTGTGGTACAGCATCAACGACTGCCCGACAACTAATATCCTGAGGTGGGCACCACCCACTGCCCTCAAGGTACCTGTGACGAAAATCGAAGCAGACATCACTCACCCACACCAGATGGGAAACTCCACACACGGTCAGTTCACACCCCATCACAAGCCAGCAAAACACCCACGAAACAAAGAAAGGTCTGTCGCAGCCAAAAGATACACTCCAGACACGCCGCTGGCACTAGAGGCACAGCATGGCCGCATAGTGACATGCCGCTTCGGCAGCAGACGGGTGTGTGGGCACTTGGCGCTGAACCACACAAACGTGGCCAACCTTACATTTTCTATTATATTGTCTAATATGTCTATCTATACTTTTTCGTTATGGATGGTTTGTGGAGGGAATGAGAAAGAGAATTTGGGGTGCTTTAACACACACACACACACACACACACACACACACACACACACACACACACACACACACACACACGCACACACAAATCCTGAGCCTTTATTATGGTAATAGATGAACCCCAACAGCACTGCATGGGAGGGAAAGAGAAAGAGAATTTGGGGTGCTTTAACAACACACACACACACACACACACACACACACACACACACACACACACACACACACACACACACAAATCCTGAGTCTTTATTATGGTAATAGATGAACCCCAACAGCACTGCATGTTCCGTCGGAGTTTCCCGGACTCATCAGGAGTCGGAATATCTTGTCTGAGTTCTAAATCTGCTTTGGAGAATAATCTACTTTATCTTGTCGGGGTTCTGCCCTTGTTTTGATGTTGGATGCTCAACTTTTTGCTGTTTCAGCTATTCAATAAATTCAAACTCTGCTAATGTTCAACATGTCTATGTGGGAACCGGGTTTGTCACAGTCCCTCATTTGTTGTCCTCTTCTCCCTCTCTACATACGGTTCACCGTGCAGTTCTGTTTGATGATACATAAATTTCTCCAAAGGACCAAAACAGATTTAAACCGGACAATGAAAATTCACCCTGGATTGCTCGGCAACCTTCACCGCCACTTACCCGGTCCAAGTTCCTACGTTTCTCAATTCCGTACATCTTCCTTAACCATCGATTACAGAGACAAACGGTCACAAGCGAAGAAGAATCTTTATAGTTTATCATTAAGCAGATTCCATGAAAAGAAAATAACCAAAAAAAAAGAAGGGTGGTGGGTTCAACTCCCCATGTTGTCCGTCCGTTTCTCCGTGGCCCCTGGGGCGCACTTCAGGTTCACCAGCTGAGATAGTTGGCTTGCCCCCCTGGCTGATCTTGGTAGGGGCCCTTCCCTTCCATCCTTCACCAGGGGTTAGGCTGCGACAGAGAAGGCTAAGGCTACCGTCTTCACCCAAATAGAACGTCCAGTCATTATAGCTGCATTTGGCCCAACTTTCAGTCCAGACGCAGTGATAATGACCGGGCGTTCTATACGGGTGAAGACGGTAGTAGGGAAGCTTGTAGACCAACCAATCCAGAGGCTGCTGGTAGGTACTGTGAGGCATATTGAGAGAAGAGTATAGCTTAGGGGTTTTCTTCTTTTTTTTTTGGGGGGGGAATGAGACTTTTCTCTCCTTCCTACAGAGGATACTGAACAGAATCTTTCACTCACAGACGAAGAGCACCGGTCACGATTGAAGAATCAAGGTAAGTCAACATAAATGGGAACTTCCGAATTTACAAGTTGTGACGATTGAAGAATCAAGGTAAGTCACTGTAAATGGGAATTTCAAATTTGTGACTTATTTGTCTTGATGTAATGAGCCATCTACTTGTTTAATGGGATGCTTAAGCAACCCGTGCGCCCCCCCCCCCCCCCCTGGCCCCCCCCCCGCCGCATTTTATTCCGATACGGCGGTCAACACGCAGTGTCCTTTGGGAAACAGAAAAGGCTCGCGGCACCACACAAAGAAGGATACGATTTCGACTGCGCCGGATCGAAAAACTTGGCGCGCGGCAGAGGGGAGGAGAGAGGGTATTAAGTGGGGAAGGGAGACGAGAGGGTATTGGAAGGAGATGGGAGTCTGCGATTCACAGACCTGTGACCGCTTCAGCTTTCCGGCAAAGGCAATCACTAGGCCTTGTAAAGGTTTGTCGCTCTCGGTTCCTTCAGGAATCTGCTGCGTCTCCGCCTTAACCACCAGAGCTTGACTACTTGCTTGCCTCACCGCAGGAGAAGCTTGACGAGGTAGAAGACGGATAGGTGGCTTTACCTTCTTATTTTTCTTCTGCCACTGCCAAAAAAAAAAAAAAAAGAGACTCACCAGATGTAGGTATGGATATACGGAAAAAATTGAGAGAAAAAAATACATATATGCAGCTGTCCCCCCACGAGGAGAAGACAGCTTACAAACACAGATTTTCCTTTCGAAGATTCAACGTTTGAAAGCATGCAACATCAACATCTCCGCATCTTGGTCTCATAGCATTAATAGTAACTAGCTAAGTGGCCGCGGTGCGGGCGGTGCGGCTACGCCCGAAGAAATAAAAAATGCAGTGGGTGACCTCACACTGCATTTCTGATGGCTCGCCTCCAAGATGTTCGTCCGCAGAAACAACGACAGCTGAGGACAGCGACGGCCTACCGGGGGGCACAAAACGACAGCCGAGCGAGAAATGAAAATAGTGTGAGGACTGAGCCCTCAAGTAGGGGCCTTGCCATGATGTACATGTTCTAGGCTAAGGCCCCAGCAAGCCTCGTGCCCGCCCTAAGTGAAGGCGGGCCAGCAAATCAA